AAATAAAGCCATCTCAGACAATGATATTCTATCACATATTTTAGGACTCTTCTGTGTTTTTCTGTGTATTTTACTTGTTGTGCTTATGTAACTCTTGTGTGCGAGCATGTAACTGTTTTTTTCATTTGCTAAAATGTGATTCCAGAATAAAGAGACATTGTGTTAAAAAAATACATAAAATAGAAATCAAACATTTTATTACTTATTCATTATAAATTCAGTAAAAATCATCGGTCATTTCTACATGTATTTAGTATCTTATTTTTTGTAAAACAAGGTTGTTTATTGGTTATAAATATATTCATAAAAGGTTGTATGTCTTTGTTTTATTTTGACTTTTTGCCTTTTTTTGTGGCCGTTCTAATAGACTACGCAACGAAACTAAAAAAGGCTGACTTGTACTTGTTTGCAGTTGTGGGAGGCTGTGAGTGGGAAGTGTGTAGCCACCCTGGTTGGGCACACAGAGGAGGTGTTGGACGTGTGTTTTGATTTAAGTGGTCAGCTCATTGCTACTGCTTCTGCTGATGGTGAGATTGTCACATGACACACTATTTCTAATCACTGTGATAATATAACATGTCTGCTTTTTATTATGATTTAGGTTTGTTTTGAAATCTCCAGGTTTTACATTTTGCAGACATTTAACTAAAGGTAAGTACACAGCAAGAATGACCTGTCCTTGTGTCTCTCAGGGACAGCTCGGGTTTTCAGCGCCACCACACATCAATGTCTCGTCACGCTGAAGGGTCATGATGGAGAAATTTCTAAGGTATGCCAACAATTTTAAAGAGTTGCGCAACGTCACGTCTGAGTCTCAACCTGTTTATGGGTGAAATATACATAACTTTGCTCCATTCTGAAGTCACCTTTAAAGTGATAAAATAATAGATAATTGAAAACATTAACGTTATTATTTTAAAAACATTATTAAAAAATTAGTGCTCATAATTTTTGTTTAATTTTAGAAAAACAAATAAAATATTAGCCTTTACCAATGCTTGGTAAAATATTTGTGTACAACTAATAAGACATTGGTATTTAATTCTAATGATTATAACAGTACTGCTGAAGTGGAGACACTGGTACCAGGATGTTTTATGCCATCGCAAACTGTCAGTTTTATCTCGCACTATCAGTTTGTAAATTTGCAACCTAAGCATTACCTTATTTGATAGCATAAATCATGGCCTGAAAAAAAAAGCTTAACCTAGTGTTACATGGATTTTTAAAGTTAAACTGACGTATTGCATTACGTGCATTTGATTGGCCCAATTTTGACCCTGTTCTTTAATCAAAGTGACTTTTTACATTTGTTATTCATGAACGTGGCTCAGAGGGTTTCTTTCTGGATGTGTTTACTCAAACACAGATAGCCAGTAAAAAATAGCCTGGATAGATGATGGTTCCAGAGGATTATGACACTAATCTCTTCCTAACAGAACACTTCCCCCACTCCATTGCATACATTTTTACAATACGGAGTCTTTTTTAATATATTTCARTTCTGCATGCCTTTCCCACTGATTGCATTATGTCTTAGCCTCTCTTTTTACCCATTGACCTTGATTATTTTTCTGTTGTCTTTCTATTTAAGAAAAATATGAATGATGGACAAAATGKAACAGGCTCTATAGACCAGACAGCATGTTTCTGTGGTTTTTAGYGTAGTAACTCATCTCAGGGATTCACTACTTTTTTTATTTTCAAACATTGCTCCCTGTATAGGGAATCCTCATCATCTTGGATGCATCGTTAGCATTTTTTTTTACTTCACTTGAGTCAGAACAAAAGGACACCCTAATGGGAAAGTTCCCTCTGAAATGAAATATATTGTTTACAATAACAACATGCTTAGAACACTAAAGAGGGCAAATCTGCTAACCTAATATAAAAATTGTTTTATATATATATATAATTACATCTTTATACTTACTCAATTTGAGCATCCTGTTAGGGTTAGATCATAAGTCCAATACAGTGACCCCAAGATGGACACTCACATGATGAAATCATAAAATAAAATTGTGCATTAATGACTTTTTCATTTAGCATAGAGCACGTGGCAGGCAAAAATAACATAATTTTTGGCAATAGCCAGTAAAAATTCAACATGGCATTTAAACATAGTTGTAAAAATAAAAATAAAAGTAGTCACGCATGACATACCAATTTATACAGTACCTACGTGTATCTTCAGAGATAATGCTGAAACCTTTCTAACTTAACATGCAGTTAAGTTGATGCTGTTTGTATAAATATCTTTATTTGTACCCATTATTTTGACTAAAGTCCACAATCTCTCCATTTTGGCATTTGTTAGAGCTGTTAATAAATCCAAGTTTCAGTACAATTAGCTTCTAAAATGATTTTTGAATTGTCTCTGCTAACTTACTTGGTTGTGATGTTGGTGATAAATTGGTGACACATTCAAAATGTCTTAAAAGATTTACTCTCAGTTTACTGGAGTGAGTCGCAGTGCCTCGCTTTCATGTTGCACGAACTGTAAATATTTTTAAAAAATTCTTTCACAATTGACACATAATTGTGGAGGACATCTGGACCCTGTCTCAAATAGACTTGATATTATAGGGGCTGGTGCAAATATGGTATTCAGTGTTATCCCAAGTAACTCAATTTGGCATCTCCAGCTAGTAACAGTTGCAAACCAGTGAGTTACTTCAGTTGTATCACAAATGACTTCATGCTTATAAAACATGAGTGCTTTGACTTTACCCATTTTGTCTCACATTGTTTATTCACTATTTCTACCACCATTTTTTTAAATTAACACTCTGTTGGTCATGCAGCGCTCACCTACCTCTAAATGAGGCTAACTCTTTTTGATGGTGTCTCTCCGTAGATCTGCTTCAGCCCCCAGGGCAGCAGGGTCCTGACTGCTAGTTCAGACAAAACGGCGCGTGTGTGGGATATTCAGTCTGGAGCCTGTCTTCAAGTCCTGGAGGGTCACACCGACGAGGTCTTCTCCTGTGTCTTCAACTACGAGGGTGACACCATTATTACAGGTACCCGCTGAGACACCACCTCTGACAGGCACATTTTAATCCCACATCCCTCCACAGCTAAAATATCACCCCGAGGGGTAAATAAAATTCTCCATGCCAGATGTCACAAATGCTTAATTGCAAACATTAGATGTAAAACATGCAGCTGAGTCCCCCTGTGTAGCCACCTGTTTATGTTTGTGCTCTGCAGGCAGCAAAGACAACACGTGTCGGATCTGGTACTGACCCTTACCTTGACCCTTACGTGTCTCAGGCGCATAGAGACATGGAGAGAACAATCAGCTGTGGATGACCATCTTGAAAAAAACATGTCACACTGAATAAAATAACTTCTTTTCAGAATATTTTATTGTGGTAAATCAAGGGTATGAATGGTGAGCTCACAGATGTGCAAATGAGCACCATGACCTTGTAGAAAACAGTTCACTGTTAAAGTATGATCAAATGAATTTGTACTATAAAACTTAAGTTAACTTTTAGGCCAGTTTGCAACACACTTTAATTGTCAATTGTATAGTTTTTCAACAACTAAAGTTGCATACCAATTTGTATTCTGAATGAATTAGGGAAAAAAAAGTAATGCTCTTACAGTTTTAAGATTATACACATTGGGACACAATAACAAAGAAACAAAAAAATCCTAAGCTGTGATCTTAGAAAAGTAATTTCTGCTGCCTGTCAGTTTGGGGCGGCTTAAAAAGCCATTTTCAAACAATTCAAAGTTCCTTGTTCTGCAGGGAGAGAAAAAAATAGAGGAAAACATTCAAGATTTCCTAAGTCACCTGAAGGTCAGACTGTCTGAGGCTCAGAAAATTTGGGCCAAATGAGCAACATTTCCAACTGTGAAGTGTGCAGCATGCTAAATGTTAAAGTTCATGACATTACAAAAAAAAAAGGACTGAAAATATACATCCTGTTTGGAAGAACTGCAAGAAAAAGTCTCCTTTCTAAAAATTACATGGCGTCATGTTTGTGGAATTGATTCTGAACAAACCACAGAATTTCTGAAAATATGTCCTTTGGACAAACAAAACCAAGTTGGAAGTGTTTGGTGACAATGCAAACTATTTTCACAAAAACAAACAAATCCAGCCGATTATATGTAGAAAAGGCTGTAGAGAGACGATGACTTCAATTTGTTTTGCAGCTGCGCGACTTTAATGCATCATCATTATGGCCACCACAAACTCCTCTGCATATGAAAGAATTATAGAGACAAATGTGAGTTGATCTAAAACATGGAAGTATTTAAAGGGGCAATATCATGTAAAATCAATTTTTTGAGTTTTATATCATGTTATAATGTTATACTCTCATAAAAAAACATGCCCAAAGCCTTGCTTTGACTCATTCCTGCATGTTTGAGAAATCCTGCAGCGTTTTTAGGAAGCCATGCTGAGGAGCAAAAYGACAGGTGGGGACCAGAAACGCCTTTTGGTACAAGAAACGCCCCTGGGACGTGTCTCCAAGTCAAGCTTCCTCATCACGGAGCACATCTCCCCACCCCACACCCCACACACCCCGCCCATGACTCCTGCAGGCTCTCGGGTCAAAGTGAAAGTGAAACCTAACTTCTGAAATCTCAACATTAGTTCTCACTCAGTGAAGCTATTTTCAGATTAAAAATACCTTTGAGGAAATGTATTATTTTCAGATGCCAAGTAAACTGCATCATAGCACATGCGCAACCCACCCCTCCGTGCGCGCGCACAAGTCCCGGCATGCGAACCCCCCCACCCCCCACCGAACGGGACAGAACAGAAGCAGAAGGAGGTTCTTAAAGAGACAGAGGCCAATTTCAAGGTGTCTAGAAGAGGAAGTTATGAGAAGATAAGTTTATTTTCTATTTAAACATAAAAAAGGCATTTTAACAGTGGTCTGTCGTCAGGGCCAGCAAAGCCTTCTCTGCTGGCCTAAACACAATCAGAATCACTACATTTTAGAATATTTAAAATATTTATAATAGTTATTATTATTATTATAAGGATATTATTATTATTATTATTGAATCACCTGTTCTCTTTGTTTCATAA